TTGATATACTACTGTATTTTGGTGTGCTGATTACAAGTATGATCATGAAAATTATCAACAAGGTCATTTTGACGGTTTGCTGCGCAATCTGGCTAAGCGTCACTACTCAGTATGCTTATCAGTAAATGCTGTCGTGAAAAATGGATACACATAAATTTTTTTACGACTTTTCACGCGAAGCGACTCCCACCCCCCATCCTCCTCCCCTCTGCTTAGGGGCGCACGACTTCCACGCGAAGCGACTCCCATCTCACCTCGCCCCCCTCCTGCTTAGGGGCGCACAACTTCCACGCAAAGCGACTCCCACCCCACCTCCCCCCCCCTGCTTAGGGGCGCACGACTTTTTACGTGAAACGTGCGAAAAATGTGAAAAAAATCGTTTTTAAATATTTGACCTTAAAAACGATCTAGTAGGCAATTTTCATTATTATATTCGTAATCAGGGCATCAAAATACAGTAATATGTCAATTGGCAAGAAAATCGAAGGGTTCACCTTTTCGGAACTCTATCAAAACGCTTTTTCAACATTGGCTCAATTTTCACTCTTTAAAGTGGGTGATACCATCCCAAAGAATTTAGAGAGTACCTTAGTGTTTCTGGCGCTCAGACAATGTGGCTGCAGTAATTGTTCTAAGAGCAGGCTGGGCCTGAGCCGTAACATTGAGATTCGAGCGAGCTGCGCCGCGGATGGACCACCCTGTCTAGCCAGGCCCCAGGCCAGCTGCGGCAATTTCTTTCTTAGTGCATCTTCCGAGACACCGGCGACCACTACCTGAAATATAAAGTAGTTTCTAAGAACACATGCGAAAGTATAGTTCTAGGAAAGTTTAACAATATGAGCTTTAGAAAAGTTGAACAACAGCACGTCATGAACCTTTGGTATTATGAAAAAGTTACAGAGTATTATTTTCCTTCCGCATCGCGCTAAAAGTGTCTTCTACGCAATTCTCGTACGTGGATATACATGTCATATAGGTGTCCTTGCTGCTTGCGCTTTAAAACTTGGTAACTCAAGTTTAAATGGTTTTAAGACCAAGAATGCGGATATCGATATTGTAAGCTTACAAAAATCTCGCGGTACCAAAACTCTCAGTGAATTTTAAAGGTCTTGAGTAACAATTTCAAATTTTTCAACTAAATTTTAATAAATATTTGTTTGAATAGTTCTGAATAAATATTTACTAAATATAAATATACATTTATTTAATATACAAAAACCATTAATTCATTTAACTATCTTTTTTTATTGAGTAAATATTTATTCACTGTAAATGGTACCTTAGCATTATTCAAAGAAATATGTATTAAAATTGAGGAAATTTTTTAAATTAAACTCGGCTTTGAAAGAAATTTTTTAAACATCGAGGTTGACTAGGAGATGTCGAAGTTTAAGACTGACAGATATCATTCCGTTTTATCGCGCGGGGTATATATTACTTAATAACAAGGCTCACAGCGTTATCCGCTGGCGACTGCCGTCAGCGATGAATTAGCCTAAATCTCAATGTATTTAAGGGCGATCTTGAGGTGCGAGGAGTTACGAGCTCACCTTCGCTACCCCTAAGCCGGCGGCGGCCACGCGGCAGCTCCTTTCGCCGCCGAGCACCGCATGCAAGAGCGATCCTAATCGCGACTCTATCGCGATTAGCGCCGAGGACGTCCGCAGAGCCGACGCAACTCTTTCCAGACCTCTGACACGCGCTCGCCAGTCGTCCTGCAAAAGTGACAAGATATCAGACGAAAGGATGATTGAAATTCCTGCGACACGTCATACACCGTAATCGTCAAACAAACCCATTCCGCGTGATATTTTATCAGTTACACTTTGACGCCATCAAAAATTTGATCGCAAGGAAAAAAGTTATAGAATGTTACCTCATTTTAATTGCGTGGTAAGAGAGAAATTTATTTATATAACATATGAATATTTAAATTTTTATTAGTGTTTTGTGCGCTTCACATTAGAATTGCCGATGGTGTACATTTTGTAGCTCCGCTAATCATTTCAATTCTTTTCTCTTTTGTATTAAATATACAGTACAAAATATTATAAATATACGAAAATATATTATAAATAATTATAATGTAAAATAAATAATATCAAAATAAATCTTCAATAATAAATAAAAGCAAGGAAATTATTAAATTAACACCTTCGACACAGTTTTAACGGAATAACGACGGCTCTATAGTGTTAAATATTAATTGCTTAAATAATTTAAAAATGTATGAATTCTCGTCAAAAGAAGCCAGTTCACGAGCCGAAATGTTTGACAAATAAAAGTTAATTTTATCGTAAGATCAATTTCGCCGATTTCACTCTTCTATCGTGGAATCGTTTCGCGTGCACATGCAAATCTCCCAACAATTACACGTGATAAGAATAAGCCGTATTTATCCGGCTGTTCTCAGGATTAACTAGTCAAATACTTGAGTATCTAATCGCTAAAATGCCGCTTTAATCGCATATGTGAGTCACCTCTAATGACGTATACATCTTTCGTACCAAGTCTTACTTGAGTTTCTTATACTTCCGCGATTTTCTTCTATTTCGTCTCCTTAATCAAAACAAATCAGAAATGAAAAAATTCCTCATGCAGCAAGTACAATTACAAACAGGTGAGCAGTGTCGCTAGAAATTCACAGTCGACATTATTGATCGTCGCAGCGGAACTGAACGCAATACATCCGCATTCTCACCGCGTGCACTTCTATCAGGCTCTATAACCGCGGAATCGATACGGACCTTGCATTAATATTTTTTATAACGTATTCCTCACGGTCGGTGTATGCGATTACCTTTTCAATATTTTTTTTTAACGTTCTCATCCGTTTTCGCTTTTTTGAAGACACGTCTTCGAGTCGACGAACGGCGAACAAAGGCGACGAGTCTAAGCGGAGTGTATCTATCGATATATATATCTGCCTACTTGCGCCACAATGAATCAGAGAACAGTTTGAAAATTGCACTTACAGCCACGTCGGTGCAACGCGACGGGTACAATTGCCGACGATTTGCATATACACGGGAGTGACGCCTTCCTGGACCTGAACGACGCGGCACGCAACACGTGCCTAATTATTTTCTTGCGGCTTACCGAGCGCGTTTTCCCTCTCTTATACGCCCTTCCCTGGCATAACGATCCGCGAGGCAGATCTCTCGTCGTTTTTCACCCGCGGAATATTCATACGGGCCCTGATATCAGCCTCGGAGAGCCGTATCGCGCGGTATGGCGTAAGGGTGTTTGCGCTCGTAAACTCGACTTTATATCGCGCGTAAAGAAGAATAGAAGTGACATGATTTATTCTCATCATGAATCAATTAGAAAGGAAAAACCACGTTCTCGAAGGATTTTTGCATCTCTCATAAATTATCGAAATTATCATGATTTCGCGATTTAATTAGGAAGAATAGCAGCCCATATAGCACAGAAGCTTGCAGCAATGCTGTAACGTTTGCAATGTTACTGCAATATTACTGAAACGATCTCTGTATGGGAACATCCATACAGCACAGAATTTGCAGCGATATTACTACAAAATTTCTGTAGTATTTCTGCAGCTTTTATGCAACTTTGGGCTATTAGGGGCAGAGACCATGAAATACATTTTCGTTTCGAAAAATTCTGCTTCCATAACAACATTCTGTAATAACGTTACTTGCAAATTTAATTTCCTAAATATTTAAATGAAAAAAGATTACGTCAAGCAACTCTCTCTCTCTCTCTCTCTCTCTCTCTCTCTCTCTCTCTCTCTCTCTCTGTTAAATTTTTGCCGAGAATCGACTTTACATTGAACTTTAAAGCAGCTAGCCCAGGTGAGATAGAACCCGCAGGTGACATCGCGGATCAATTATGCAGCGTACGATGTTGCGAATAAGTCGAAGCCTTGTTCGGGATAGATATATATGTATTCGCGTAGACATATACATATTCTGTTCCCTTGATTGCGACGAACGACGTCCCACGGAAATCGATCGTGTGGAATCGGTATTTATTTTCACAGGCCTCTCGTAGACGCGCGTTGACGAGGTCGCACGTGCATTCATAAAAAGGTCTAGTGCAGCCGGTGCAGCGACCTTGAAGTTACTCACTGAATGAACATAAGGCGTACTTGCGAATAACGGTGATCGTTGCTGGAACTTTAATCATATACGTACTTTAATCATATTAGTACCGCGAGTACAATGTTTTCTTATACAAATTTAGCAGCCTTGGTCTTATATTATTGTAACTGATCTACGACTGCTTTTCTTTTAGAAAACACAGTCGACATAAATGTCGGTCTATCCTCAATTCTTGGCATATTTAATGAATAACAAAGTTAGAATGATACTTGTGTCGACTGTGTCTCTTAAAAAGAAAGCAGCCTATATATCAATTATTTAAGATCGACTTTTTCGCAGTGCATAAATTTTATCGCTGATTAATCGCTTAATTAATCGAATGTTTATCGTTTAGTATTGGTTTTAGGTCTCTATCAGGGTAGCGATCGTGTAACTTTTTCCCTAGGACGGAAACATGAAAAGCGAATATTTTTATTAAAAAGTTATACGATTGGTACCGAGAGCGATTACACCGTTTCAACAGCTGAGCTAACGGAATTAGTATGCTAGAACATGGAATTCTTTGACCATGACACTCCCCACTCAAACTTCAGGAGTGGACTTATCTACCGAACTGGTTTACCTATCTTTCCTATCTCTCGTTAAAATTGATTAAAATAATATAAAAGGTTTTATAGAGTAGAAATTACAATACAGCTATATGTACATAACTTTGGCACACTTTTAATATCTGCAACCGATATTAGATATTATAGGAGACATTAAAACAGTTCGTTGTGAAGCAATAAATTCAATATATGCTGACAGAATCGTCCAAAAAGTCATAAAAAATGATGGCGCACTTATAACAATACTTTGTTATAATCGTTTGTTACCAAACAGATTGCTTGGGGCTGGCAATACTTTAGATCCATCACTGTCGAGAAACGGTTCATGAAACCGGTCAGTCAGTTGTCTCGGCAGAAGGCAGAGAGAATGTTCGTCTCGTGGGTTTTAGAAAATTCCGCCGTTGAAAAGTCACAAACGGAGGATACGCCAAATGATACATTCGCAAAACTGTGAACGTGAGAACCACATCTCGCCATACCGATATAATCATGTCGCGGCAACGAAAACGCGCGTTCTTCCGGATACTTCAAATCATCGTTTGTTTTGGAGTTGTCTTCTTGACACTGAAGTTATCTCTCGTCGTTATCGGCGACGAGAGCAGACCTCTTCCCATCGACGACAATCTGAGAAAGCTGATGGTAAGTCACTGAGAGATTTAAAATCTCACAGAGATCGATATAATTCTAAATCGTTTATCTCAGATCGAGGTCGAAGCGGACAACACACGACGATCGTTAAACGTTGAAAGAGTTTGTAAAAAGTATAACTTGGGGTTTTATAGAAAGCTCGCCGATGACTCTCTATTCAAGCATCCACCTGCGCCGCAGTATGCCGTCTTCTATATGGACAGGTTCGTAAAAAGTATCAGAAAAGAAGAAGAAAATATATTTTGACTATTAACGACCGATCCTTATCGAAGGTGTCAAGGTATCCACAAGATGACGATTTCTGCGCAGAGTACACAACATATCGTACTGTCCGGTGTATAAAGCCGGCACCACGACCTGGCTCTACAATCTTTGTCTGTTAATGAACGTGCCTGAGGAGACGCTGAACAGCGGTAAAGAGCAGCTGTCGACCATCGCCAGGAGAGCAATACCGGAACTTGAGTATCCTAAAGCCGATCATGTTCTGACAACGAGCAGAAAGTTGTTGATCGTGCGGCATCCTTTTGAGAGGTTGTTAAGCGCCTATCGTGATAAATTGGAAAACTCCATCGCCGGACGGGAACACGGGACGCTTTACTTCTATCGCAAATTCGGGGTCAAGATTGTGCAGAAGTATCGTAGTAAGTCGTGGGAAGATAAGAAATAAGGGAGAAACGTTGACTAAAAATCCTTTTCTTTACTCTGCACGATAACCATTATCGTAAGGATAGATTTATTTTCGCGATTAATTCTTCTGTTGATAAATAATTACTTTTTCACCTTTTTATTATCATGTTTCATAACGTTTTCGTTAAAAACGTAAAAATGATAACGAGATAAAGTCTGTGCCAAATTGCTCTTTGCTATTCGAAAGATATAGGATTTTTTAGGTGTTACAACAAAATTCGCATAAAAATATATTATTTTTTATTGTATTCAATATCTACGTATCCATTGATTGAAGGGTTAAGTTTTGGAAAACGTGTTGAATATATTTTATTTAATTTTATTAAAGAAAAAGACAAAGAATAGTGATAAATCCGATAAACTTTCAGATGAAAATTTCACGGAGCCACAGCCGAATCAAGTGATCCGACGCGAGGGTGTACCGCCGCCGGCTGGGGTGGAACCGACCTTCCGAGAGTTCGTCGAATACATGATCGAGACTGACCTAGGCAGTTACGAAGACGATCATTGGATGCCATATTATCTCTTTTGCACGCCGTGCCTCGTCAAATACGACATCATTGCGAAGGTATCGAAATTCGCATCAGCAGATAGCTGATTGTCGTAATCTTGTAATATTTTGCGTTATAACACTAAAAATACCCAAGTAGCACACAGAGCCTATAAAGCATTACAAAAGCATATAAGCACTTTTTTAGCGCTTTGTAGTCGCTGTTGTGCTACTTTGTGGGTAATAAAAGTACAAAGCGAATGAATTACTGTAAAAAATGTGAAAATAAAAAAAGTGATAAAAAACTAAATATTTTATTAGTATAAAACATAATTATTGAAAATATTAAAAAATTATATCTTTTATACAAGATATATAATATTAATTAAAAAAATAGAAATAGTCAATAATAACCGGTATTTCTATTAGTATCAAATATTTCAAAAGTGTTAGATATATATATATTGAAATTTTTAACGAAGCATCATATCAGCGATTATTTTAAAGCTCTTGTAATGTAATAATAATTTTGCAGGTGGAATCGCTGTGGAGAGATCAGGTGTATGCGATCAATAAATTAGGATTGCAAGACAGAATCAAGCCCAGATGGAGACATAGTAACAGTTACGCTAACGCCTCCAAGATATACTTCAGCCAGTTAAACAGAGAGATGGTGCGAAGACTGTATGAGAAGTTAAGGCTGGATTTTGAACTGTTCGATTATTCACCTGACGTTTACTACGAATACGCTACGTCTATTGATTAATTAAAGTTGATCGAGCAAACTTTGTGTCAACAGTCTATTAAGCATAATTTTATAATAATATAATAATTATCGTGTCTAGAACACTGATGTAAACCATCGATGGCCCACAGAGCAGGCATCTCATTCGTGAGATTTAAAAAAAACAAAAGAGAAAAGTACATTAAGCCCGTACACGCGCACACGTAATCCCGATAATTGATGGAGCTTAAATCACGTTACGTCACGCGACGAACTTTTGTCGACGACGAAAATCGATCGACCTACTTCTCACCATACTTAATGTATCGGACCGGTGGTTTGTCCTAAAGTCAAGGGTCCTCAAGTGGATACGTTAATCGTCAAGGATCGCGACAACCTGAAGCAGGGCATTACCCTGCTAACACGCGGCAAGAATGGTGCCAAATGAATCTCACGCAAATTTCCACAAAGTCACAGCTAACTTGAATTTTTTCAAAGAATAACATCACGATTTTTTCTTATTGTAATATATAATATATTGAGTTCTATGAGCCCAACTGAATTAACTAGATCCGTTCATAGTTTTAAAGATCTCTTTCCTTTGTTATTTGGGCGAATCAACTTTTATATATAATTTCTATAATCTATATATAATTATGTATAATCCGACATTAAATATCAATACTTCGATCAGCTTAATACAATATTATTTGAGGAATTTCAAGAGTGATACCAAAAATATGGTTACTGTTTATACATAAGTTTCGACGAGGGAGATAATATGTGCAAAGTATTGCATTTATCAAGAGATGCATTTATACTAAGTATTTCATAAAAAAAATTAATTATATGTTTTATATAATAAATTTGCACGCGCATAAAATACTGGTATTTATTAATCGCGGAAATATCTGATCTTTTACCTTGTTGTGCAGGTCATCCAACACCTCCTGGCCAACCAACCCCAATTCCTCCCAGCTGGGTTCCTGCGGTTTACCCTCGCCCTCGCTGCTACTACAAGTGACACTTTCGTTCCCCTCCGACGCGGTCCCTTCCTTTTTATCGTACTGACTGCGCCACTCTTTTCGTCCCTCGCCGTTCACAACAGTCACCGCACGATCGTCCGTAATCATGCCGCAGGTACGCACGTCCCGTTCATCATCGTCGATGAAGTCGCCGTCGTCGTCGTCATCGTCGATGAAGTCGCCGCCGATCAGACGATCTATTTGAGCATTGCACTCGTTTACTGGCGATCCAAAAGGGAAACTGTTGGACCTGCGAGACAAGCTGTTTCCTGACAACTTCTGTTCGTTCAAACATTTCCTTTCTAACTCGAAGCTGTCGTCATTATCTCGGAATGTCTTCATCCGTTCTGGACTTGATGATTTTATCGTCGTGTAATTCCTCTCTTGCTTCGAAGAGGCTTCAGAAGCATTACTTCTGTTCGAATCAATCACATCCGCGTGACCGTCTCCCTTAAGGATCATCGCTTGCTCCCCTTTTAAAGATATGTTTTTTGAAGCTTCTATCGCTACAACCTGAACTGATTTAGACAGATCATTTTCATCCTTGCTCTTTATTGTCAATTTGTCTTCACTATTTGCTGACGGCGGAGAAGCTTGAACTAACGTAATTTCTTCTTTCTTTAATATTTCATTAATTTCTTGCGAACTACTACGAGGGACTTCATTTTCTAGAATCGTTTCACTACTTTTTTTAATTTTCTTCGTGTTCTTCATTTCTTCCGTCGGCGAATTGATTACAATTAGAGGTCCACCTGTCTTCGTCAAAATACTCTTCTTAGGACTCAGCTGTGCATTGTGCATGTACTCTCTCTTGGGACTGCTGGACGCCGACCTGGAAGCTCTCCTTGATCCTCGCTTCTCTATGTGAGGACTGCAGGGTTGGGATGATGGTCGTCTCCTCATCATTTCCGGCATCTTAGTGGCCGGCGACACCGGAAGTGGGATCCTCGTCTTAGGCGTTATCTCGATCGATTCCGTATCGTCGCTGTCGGGTGTCCTTAGCTTCACGATCTCGCCGCCAAAGTGGACGCGCCTGGGTGTCCTGCGTTTATCTGCGGACGATGATTCTTCAATGATGTCGTTCATCATATCGTTATCGATCTTGTTTTTCTTCCCTTCGTTGTCTTCGCTATCATCATCGTCCTTTTCCTCGAGGATTGTCATCGTGATGGCCGTCTCCTCGTTGAACTTGATCTCGGTCTCCAGAACGACTCTCGACGGTGGTATCTCATCTTCCTCCTCGGCGATACCAGAAGTATCGCTGTCGCTATCCCAGGATTTGTCGAAGGCGCGCTCTTTCTTATCAGCCTTTATAATGTCCTGCGTACGATGCTTATTTTGCTTCTTTTTGGTTGACTTGATATTATAGATTTTGGAGAGAACATCGATGTTCTTCTTAAACTTGTCGTCATAATCTGCCAAGTAACTCTCGAATTCTTCCTCACCGACTGCGTCACGGATCTTCATGAGAGATTTCAGAACGGCTTCTTGATGTGGTACCTGGACTAATCGCGAGGCGAAGGCGATCGTAGCATCCTTCAGGATCTGCGTTGTTGGAGGAGGACTACTCGAGGATGGAAAGAGCAGCAGAGGTGCACTCAGGATCACGCCTGTCGTCACGTTTGTTTGAAACGGATTGTGAGCATCCGGACGATTCAAGCCATCGTGAAGGATCTGAAATAAATGAAAGTATTTCTTGATACAGTATCGTTATCTTCATAAAAATTAAATGTTCATAGATGAGTTTTAGAAGATTAGTTTCTATGGTTTAGACCATAGAAAAGTTTTAATAACTCATACAGTATTTGGATTTAAAAGGAATTGAACTTAAAATTTATTTATAGAAAAGAAATCGTCATCGAAATATTATGAAATAATGCTTAGGCAAGTTCCCATTGAAAAAATAAAATTTTTAGATCTAGAAAGGTGATAAATATAGATTTAAAAGAAAGCTATAGGTAAAAAAAAATAAGTTACAGGCGCTTACGTTTTTAACCATGTTTTCTCTGTTGGGGCTATGAACCAGGTAGACCCGCAGCGTGTCCAAGGCGCCCTTACGAACCGCCGGCGCTGGATGTCCCAAATTATTGATCAGCTCTGGCACCACTGGTTGCATGACCTTGTCAACGACATCGGTGTTCAGCGTCGGTAAAACGTCCATCAGCACCCGCAGGGCGTGTTGGCGAACCTCCCATTCCGGATCCCGAAGTCTCTCGGAGATCTCGATAAAGGTGGCCTGCGTGTCGACTTCGGATGGAAACCTATGCGTACGCACCTGGCCAAAGACAATCAGCTTGTCAAATTTATTCGCTTTTAAAAAGGAAAACTAGGAGATAAAACATGTAGAAATACGCGGCAAGAGTACTCTCTAAGGGTTGTTCCATCTTCAGATAAACTCTGTGGTAATTTACCTATTGGATAAACAAAAGAGTAAAATTCTTTAAATCTCGTGGAATAAAATCTCATTCGAAGAGACTGAAAATTTAGCCTGTCTTGAAAAAGGAGTGAAAATACAGCCACTCTTGTTAAAAAAGGGATTAAGATTTCTCTCTTTTGGAGTGAAGAATCTCATTTTAAAAGAGTAAAAAAGAGTTCACTCTAAAAAGAGTGAAAATCTTGAACAAGAGTGGCCGCATTTTCACTCTTTTTTTAAGACAAGAGATTTTATTCCTTGAGATTTAAAGAGAAGAGTAAAAACATAAGAAAATAAAAGAGTAAAAAAGTAAGACAGTAAGCTGAAGTTTACCGAAAAGTGGAAGAACCCAGCTTAAAACTTTTAGTTGCGTCTCACTTTAAAGAGTGAAAATTTACTCTTAAATTTTACTCTTTTTCAAGACTGGCTCAATTTTCACTCTTTAAATATTTTCCACTCCAAAAAACTTAGAGAGTATAAAATACTTTTATCCTGAACGTACCACGTGTTCCCAAAGAGGTGTCAATTGTATTGCTTGCCCAGACGGCGGAGCGGACGTCATCCTACGTCGCGACTGGTGACGATGACGACTACCTCGCCGTGCAGACGAACCGTTGTCCTCCGACAAGGACGATGGTCGAGCGACGGGAAGCGAAGCAGGTTCTTCCTGGGGCTGCAGCGGCCCCGCATCTGTCGATCCTGTCATAGATGACGACAAGCAGCCGGACATATCCCCCTACGTCTCGTCCTTCGGGTACCACCGATTGTCCGTCATGATCTCCCGCAAATTTGGCTCCTCACCGTTCATCGATGGTCCCAGTGGCATATATATGTGCGATTGCTATGCTAAAGTAAAATTGCATAAAGTCGTACGAAATTGATATACCCTCTTGCCTTTACCTTTGAACTTTAAGATTAATATTCGCGCCCCTCCTCCGTAAATCTTCCTATACATAAATTGCGAAAAAACTGGCAGGTAGCTTCTTAAAATTATCGAAGGTAGAAAAAGGGGTTTAATAGTAGTGTAATAATGATAGCAACGATAATGATACTAATACAAGGAAAAGATAGATCGATTCTTATTACTAAGTTAACTAACTTAACTAGGATTGTAAAGACCGGATGTGCTGATATAAAAGTATACCAATTTAACGATCGACATGTAAGGCCGAGGTTCCTTAAAAATTGTAGCGAATGTGCAATCCCAGTTATGGAATTACCGGAACTTTTATTGGCAATTTAAAGCTTAGGGTGAAACGTAAAATCACATGAATACGTAAAATCTATTATTCCACTGAAGCGCGAATTGAATTTAACGTATTAAGACTCCTTCATCGTGTAAGTATATTGGATTGTGACGTTCGAAGCGAGAGAAGCCGCACCAGTGGAGGAACATGCGACTTGCATCTGATTGTGCTTCGTTTTAATATTATATTCGATATTACTCGAATGAAAGAAGTCGAGTCCTTCTAAATGTCCATCATCCTATAGTTCCTCATTACCGTCACGACTTCCTTCGGAATCGACAGTGAATGACTGACGTTTGTTTTGCTTCCGGGATGTATGATGCACGATTGACGTTGCAAAGACAGCTGTCGCTGTCAAAGAAGTAACGCTTGTCATGCGATATGTATGGTATCACTTGCGAAACAAAGTGTATAATTCACGAACGCGGTTGTCTCGTAAATAAGAAAAACCGATCAAAACACAGTCAAGTGGTGCACGTCTTCCGCTTTGTCTTTTCCCCAAGAATGTATAATATACATCCCCAATACGCGCATTTTACACGGAGGTAAAAAATGTCCCCGTGTAATCCTGATCGTCGTTTCTGATAGCCGACAGATAATAGAAGTATTTGAACAATATTAACGTTAAAATTGCGTCGATATTATGTGGGTACTTTTAAAGAAAAATCGCCTCGCGAGAGGGAAGTCGCCAAGTTTATCATTAAATCTCTCACGACATGAACCCAGCGTAAAAAAGTAGCACACACGAAACGCGATTGCATAATACAGGGCAAAACGTGCGTACTCCTTATATATTTCCTTGAGACATGCATGATAATAATTAAAATTCTCGTGCTTTTTTTAAAAGCTTTAATAGTGGACAATCAAAGATAACGAAGCACTGTACTTAATATTAATTATAAGATTGTTATATATAGTCCGTTTGATAAATTAAGAGGATTTGTAAATAGAATTTTATTAGGACTGTTAAGCGAAATTATAAAATTTTTTAAGTTTGATCTTCGAAGAATTGTAACTAGTTATTTTCACTTTATTTCCATTCTGGAAATAATTTTTTAACTTTTATACTACTATTCTTAATTATTCTAATTACAGAATTCAAAATAAAGACTACAGAAAAAAGTTAAGGAAGACATTGCTCTTGATTTCTAAGATTTATAATTAATCTCACAAAAGTTAATTTTTTTTGCTTTCTATAAGTTTTCAGGAAATGTTTAATAGAATAATTCATAACTAAATTATTATTTACAAAATTATTTTAAATCGGATATCTTTAAAAATATTCCATATAACTTTTAAAATAATAAGAAAAAGAAAGAAAAGAAAGTATACTTTCTTTTCCGAAAGTTACATAAATTCGTTTTTATACTATTTATAGAAATACTTGCGAATTATTAAAAGGATATATAATATATTTTAAAAATATCAAAATACTTCCATTTCACAAAAATTTGAAATATTAAACACATATATTCAAAATTTTATTAAAAATTTTAAAACACTTTATCAGTCAACGTCTCTCAATCAAAAGTATTGCAATTGCGAAAATATAGTTTCATAGAAGTTATTCGTACTTTTAAAGTTTCATGAAAAATTATAAAAAACAGAATACATTTGGATAAAAATTTCATGTATTGTTTAGAAAATGCAACCAAAAGTAAGATAATAAAGATAAGCATTTAAGAAAATTCTGCTGATAAGATAATATAAGAAAATGATTGTAGTCGCTTAGAAATGCAATTGCGATGTTGTCGGCGTACTTTAGCGAGTTATTGTAATTATTGATTTATATATATATATTGTTTATTGTAATTGATCGGCGATAAAGCTTACTTTATGTGAAGCGGCGATGGAACGCGCGGGTACGACGGCGAGAGTATGCACTCGACCGCGGCCGGCATGTGACTATCCGCCACCGCGTTCTCCATCGGGGAAGGAACTGCTTCGCAGTTAATATCGACCACCCCCGTCCGTCTCTCTCCCCACTTTGGCGAGAGAGAATCGTCTTATACTTTACAACGAGCTGTAGGGTTGCGAGTACCTTGACAGAGGTACCGAGAGAAATAAATCATCGTCAAAGTATCCTCGCGCGAGAAGACAGGGACGAGACGTAGAGTTTTTTTTTGCGCACTCTAGTAAATTGTCTTCCATCCCGTAGTGCGTGGAATAATACTCTAACGATGTGTTAATCAATGGAAAATAGATGTAGTCGTGGAATTGCAATAATATTTTGTCATTTCGGCAATTATTTCGAAGATTACGTTTGAAAGTAATGTTGCACGTGGATATCTTAATTATTCGTTTGTGAAGTATATCCTGCTCGTGTTTAGTTGTCGAAGCTTTGACGAGCTATATCCGTTTGTCTAATATTTACAATGCGTCAGTCTTGCTTTACTGACTCTGATTAATCGCTTTATTATTCAGTCCAAGGAAAGTTTCTCTTCTTTCGCGAATCAAAAAATCTTTCCTCCCGACGATTCTCTCCTCATCGATCCAAATGTTATCCAAATGTTATCCTGACGTTAAGAAACGATTAACGAAAAAAAAATTTATCTCGCTGACTGCGGAAAGTATGAAGGATTGTACGTGTGCTTGCAGTGATAGAAGCTATAATGAATGTATGCCAATGAATGCGCGAGACGGCACGCGATATTCATGAAACTGAACACGGACAATTTCAAAATTCCATCACGGGGAATTCCCAGCGGACATGCTTCCGGGCGATTAGAGAAAGAATTTCGAATAAACGAAGTTTCAGCGACGAATGCAGAAACGGAGTGGAGCGGCAATGGTTGATCGATTTCGCTTGTAATGCCCGGTTCATATCACGAGTCTTATCAAGCTCGTTTGCTATTAGCGGTACACCCGCATATAATGCAACAATTCAATCTGCCGATTTTACCGTTTTCTTGGAAAGGGAAGTCATCTTACGTTATGACAAAACACATACTTCCCTTACGATCGATTTGATATACCGAAGTTCTTAATTACGTTCATTACGAGAAAATTCCTAGTTAATGAATACCGATATACAATTATAGATACATCATTAGTAGAGTAGAGCGATGTTTTATCTATTTCTTGCAATAACGTTTATGTTTCTGAACAGTACATATGAATATTTGTGCTTGTGCTCTCAAGAAGCAATTGTATAATGTAGTTGTAAGCGCGTCACCGGAAAAAAAATTGTTTATCGCGCGCGCTTAAATTTTCATATTACTTTAAAGTTGAAACTAATTAAATACTATCCTATCTTATTATTTTCATAGCAAAAAATATACACTAGAGTAGTATTGGAAATTTAGGTCTGCAAGAAAACGTATGTCCAAGATATAAGGAATATAACAATTCTTTACTTAGTTTTCCATTAGAATCGATTAGAATTTCACACGAACTTTGCATAAAAATGTACTATGATTAAGGGGAATGATTTACATTTACCTTTGTCAAGTTAACACCCTCATCATTGAAAATTATAATTTTGATATAGATCGTATTTTGATTTTCAGAAATGTTAACTTGATAAAGTTTTATATTTCTCTTCTTCCATTCGGGATAGGAAATATACATAATACAATAACAATGTAAATAAAATTTTTCACGCAGTAGAAAGCTTGGCCAACGTATCGGCATACTGAAATTCCGTACTGTTCTCATAGTCGCACATGTCCAAGGCGATTACGCAACTCTCATGAACAACTCTTTTACTATCATTGAGATATCTGTTTAATATCTCGTAGCATTCAGGAGTGGCAATGGAACCTAAAGCCTCTGCACACTCATGCCTGACCATCTCGTTTTCCTCCGTGTCTTCCAATGATGCTTGCAATCCTGGCACAGATGTCTCGTCTTGAAGTTGTCCTAGCACAAACGCTACCTCATGTTTGAACAGGGCACTACCGGTCTTTAAACCTTTATGCAAAAACAAAACTCAATTAATTAGTACTTATTTAATATTTGTAGGTTAGATTAATATAATTACCTTCAGTAAGAGTTAGAATGCTCTCTCTGGTACCCAAATTTCTCAGTGAGAACATTGCTCTGTATCTATCAAACAACGACTTGTTTTCATCTAACAAAATATCCCTCAAGACTTTTACGTCTGTTATTTCTGCCGGTGGTGCAGGATCAATGGTCGAGTATGAATTCTTTTGTAAGTTCTTTGTATTACTGTTAGATTCTAACCATCTCAACCGGTTTAAAGCCAACTCACACGTCTCTGCTACTTCAGATATAGGATCTTCGCGATACTTTTCCAACAGAGGAATTACACTTGACTCACCGATAGCACCCAGTGCCTCTCCTGTGAAAAAAATACATATAAATATAAAATAATACAAAGAATGAATACTCTCTAAATTTGAGTGGAACCTGACTTCAAAGAGTAAAAATTGAGATAAGAAGAAAAGAGTAAATTTTGAATTGTTCTTGAAAAAAGTTTTTTAACTCTTTAAGAGTAAGATTTACTCTAAAAGTTTTAAAGAACAGATTCTTTATTCTTTTCATTTCTTTTTGAATAGATTACTGAAGCTTGAATGAGACTTGTACATGCTAAATACATACCAGCTTCGTGACGTACCATCGGCTCCTGTGACAGATCTTCCAGGATACTTTTTAAAATATTAATGGCTGCAGGATCTCGCATCTGACCTAGACAGTATGCAAGCTCATGTTTCAACAATGCTGACGGATCTTTGAAACATGCATGGATCTGATCTATTGCCATTGCACCACCAATATTCTTCAAAGTGAATAGAGCGCGGAATCTCTCTTTCAGAGGCCTGGCAGAGTCATTTAGAACTCCGCCTATAGTCAAAATATCGCTTTCACTTGCTTGAACCATTTTTTAAATTAAATGTTAAATCTTAAATATATAAATATAAATGAGAAATAAAATTCCAAATATCTTTGATCTGTAAAAAAATACATAGAATATTATAAATATGTAATTATAAAAAAATGTAATTATTAAAAATGTATATAATTATAAAATAACATAAATTTTTAATAAATAATTACACAAAAGAAAAGTACTGTATAAAAATTTAAAAATTTATAATTACAAACTGTTGTCAGACTTCTTACCAATTTAATTAATTTTCAAACGAATATCTATTAGTTTTAATGAGCTGGATAGATATTACTAATGTATTATTATTAAATTAACAATTCATTTACCTCGATTCAATGCGATAATTTTTTAGGTTAACATGCCATGAGTTAAAGCTGGAACCATAACGTATAGAAACCATAGATTTACTCCATATTAGTATTTATGGGCCATGTTTTTGGAACAGAATTAGGATCTTTGTTTGATGTATTTTAGAACGAAATTCTAACAAAAATTGAGGATATCTTTTTTTATAAGTTTTGGAACACAGTCAGCTGATCGAGACTCAAATAGGAGACTTGTCCAGACTTTATTGGGATATGAAGTGTGAAAGCGTTTTTCTAATGATTTGTGACACTGAGTACACAATATTTCATAATTACCTAAACTCTTCGATCTTGTATTAAAATTTTCGTTATAATTTTTACATTATAATTGTAAGTCAAAGGTATATTGGCATAAAATTTTGCGTTGATGCATAAGTAACCTGTAGGATAAAATTGACTTGCATCTCCTAAAAATATGGAACCACAACAAAATGACAATATCGCTTTAAGCGCAAGTACAATATTAAGAGCATGTGCCTCGACGAGTAACGAAGGTATATGTACATCTACTGGTATGCTAGATCGCACCGAAGTTAGATACTGGATGCTGCACCTTTATTTTGAAGTATTTTGATGATTTCTCTGTATCCCCATCTAATGCCGTTAGCACAACTTTTGCTGCTAAGTTTTTGAGTCATATTAATAACTGTGTACCAAATAGAAAAGCTCAGCAATAAGCCGAGCAATAACTGCACTAGAATGGGTTGAGTTGTGTCATGACCACGACTTGAAAATTTATGGATGATAGTAATAATGAGAACTTTGAATTTAGCGGAGAGATTACGAAACCTCCAGGAAGACAAGCACTCTAAATTAACAATTGGAGCATTTTTTGAATTTATGAGAACTGCGTATCAAGTTAATGGTAGTTGCGAAAGTTTGGCTACGATACTGAGTGCTAACAGCGAGATTGACTGGCATGAATTAGCAAAAATTAATTTAGACCTGGAAACGCGCGAGGCTAGTAAAGCAACCAATGATAACTGCCATCCTAGTACTGACGAACAGCAAAACAAGAATAATGATCCTATACAAATATTACTGACACAAACAAGTAATAAGGAATCAAATTCATGTACATCAGAAAGCATGATAAGTTCACAGTCTTCTGTGATATCTTGTAATAGCAATATTTCTAACATATGCAATAATAACAGTTCTGCAAAGGAATCTACCAGTGTAGAAAATTCTTCTAATAAATGTTTAGAGACAGAAGATAGTATTAAAGAAACAAATCAGTCACCAGATAGTCAAGTCCAAAATGAAAAGGGAAAAATATTACAAACTAAAGAACATTTAGAAGAGAATGAATGTGGTTTGGCGAAAGTCATGAAGGAAAATCTAAGAGATATTTTGCACGAAGGATTACTGGACTCTGTTTTGCCATACATGCTGCCAAAATCTGCCCTATCGCAACCTGTTATTAAAAAGTCCACTGCTGTTGCAGATGTTAAAAAAAGTTCTTCTTTGAATAATGTAATTGAAAATAAAGCCTCAGTTCATAAAGAAAGAGACAAAGAGAAAAATAAGACAAACAAGAAATCATCGGAGTAAGTATTTTTTAATTGCAATTACATTTTGCAATATAAAGTTAAAAGTATTTTTAATAAATGGATTAATTGTTCATGTTCAATAATATAATTGACATTATTTTTTTATATTGCATTACAGGAATGAAGTGGAAATTCATGTTTGCGACGAAGATAAAAATATTAGAAAAAACTTTCGATGTCCACAAAAGCTTCTTATACAAAAAATGTGTTATTTCGCTGATGTTACAGCAGGACAGAAACTCGACGAGATAGACATATCGGTCCATTGTGATATAGTTATTTTCGACTGGTTGATGAGATGGGTGAAGAAGGATATCATAAAAAAGTCAGAATGGCCAGTTTTAGAGGCAAATAACGTTATTCCGATTATGGTATCCGCTTGCTTTTTACAAATGGAACCGCTTTTGGAAAATTGTCTGCAGTATTGTCATGACAATATGTCGGATATCTTAAAAACATCAACAATTTTAACATGTCTAGATGACAATCTTCTTACAAGGCATGCATTTTATTATTGTCATAGTTTTAATTGTATTTTACATAATATATTACATCTAATTTGTAATAAATTATTAATTTAAAGCTTTCTTTTTTTCTGTTTTATTGATGTTTACGATTATCCACAGATTGGCTGAATTATTTACTAACGAAGATGTTGAAATGCTCAAAGATAAAAAAGATAAAATTCAGAGTCGTTTGTTCTGTAAGTTAATCGCTTCTCTAGTGGAGACCACTCCAGTTAATAAAAAGGGACACTATAGTTCATTGGCTATGATGTTTAGATGTGGAAAGTGCGGCAAGAATGTTATACAATCGATTTCTGACTTTGTGCCTTGCATTCCAAGTGCAATGAAAATTGATAACAAGGGAACTGTTCACAGCAAACATGTCAGGTATACATATATTTTTATATATTTATACCTGACAGGAGACACATATTTTTATATATAAGCATTATTATATGCATGAAAGATTTAACAAAAAAAATAACTTTGCAGAGATTTGACTTGGACATTGAATGATTATGTCGTTGCCTTGCGATCGGAATTGCGCTCTTGGCGCAAAGTATATTGGAGATTGTGGGGAGACTGTCATTTTGTGTTCTGTCAACAGTGCAATATATACTTTCCAATACATCAGATCGGTTGGTGCTGCTATCATCCGGAACTTGCACAATTCTTCGTAAACGAGCAACAGAGACCTATGCCCTTCCCATTGGGAAGATATCCGTGTTGTAGTCAATCTGCTTACAGATTTGAAGCTTTATCAAATCATCAAAGTGGATGTAGATACAAAGTTGGTATTAACATTACGCTTTTGGAAAAGCGAAGAAAATTATAAAGCGTGTCTTTATAATTGCGTTATAAAAATGAATTTACTTAGTTTATGATACATATAATATACATATAAAAATATAGTGAAAATATAGTTTATATAAAGATTCCTATATAAAGTTTTTTTTTTTAGGAACACGTACCAAATATAAAGGGCGAGAAAGAATTAAATATGTTAAATATCTTGACAGCACATAGAGAAGTGATAACTTTGGAAGCACCCCAGCTTTTTTTCCCAGAAAAAATTACACGGCTTGTAACACGCGATCCGTCTCTTCGTCCAGGCAAATTAGTGTGTAAGGATACAATGTGGTGGAATGGAATCGAGCTCGTGCCACAGAGACCAAAACTTGGTTTGCTCGGTAAATTGTCAACTTGACACTTTATTTTCTATATATACAGGATTAAATTCTATAACGCAGAAAAAATTCACAAAAACAGGAAAAATTTGGGGAAGTTCGGGACTTCGTCGATTACTTCAAGTACAGGATTCGCAAAAGTCTTTACAGAAGATTTATCGGCGAATTTCCGTAACCACCGATATTTCGTCTCCTACTTCCTCGATTACAGACGAGGAAGACGACGAAGACGACGGCGGGACCGTGTACGAGGACAGCAGTGTAGATGACGAATCATATTACAGTGAAGAATCCAATACATTATGCACATTAAAGTCGATGGTTAAAACAAAGCATCAAAGTAGTCACAAGTAACAAATTGTGTTGTTGAAATAGTAAGTATCTTTATAACACAAAATGTTTATATATGATTTTATGTTCCTTTCAGGAATGGTAGATGTTGGAGCGGGAATTTAAATATAAGACACAATCAAGATAATCAGAGAGATTTTGAAGAAAAAGCTGCGGCGCAAATGACAGCTCTTCTGACAAAGAGAACAGTCACAGAGAATTTGCTTTCAAAATTTAATAAGCAACAACACGGCTATAAAACTAAGCAACCTGTTGGTATGTTTTCCGTGCAATATATTTTATAGTTACGATCATATTATGGCTGCGTTCCGATATTCACTGCCAATACCAAAAATCTATAATACATGTTACATACGCTATAAATTTTCAGTATTGATGAATATCGAAATGCAGCCATATATAGTGAGATCTAAAAGTCCCGGAATTAGCTAATTATCTCATATTATCAGAAAATATTAGCTTATTGGAATTATTAGCTTATTGTTTTAGACAAAGTTGTAGGGTTCAAAAAGATCTATTTACTGATTTTTTTAGTTCGATCTTGGGTAGCGTTGCCAATGTCAGATCAAGGTCATATCGATTTTTTTAAATGAAATACTTTATTTTTTATTTCGGAATCTAAAGCTGGTGCCAAGAACTTTTCGAAACACTACAATGAAATTCATTCATTTTCATTAAGTACTTTTCGAATTATAAGGTTTGAAAATTACAGTACCGCCATCATTAGAGTGAGCATTACCCGAAGTGTCCGATGATTAAAACCTCTTAAATGTTATTCAAAGTTATACCCTGGATAATATTTGTCAAGATCAAGGCCATTGGAGATTGTTTTTCTTATTTTTATTTTTATATAAAAATGAATTTTTAATGCAAAAATATTATTGACGTCGATAAACAGAGATAATTTTATTGTAAAAGTTTTGTATAAAACATGTTTTGACATCTCGAATAGTTTTTAAGCTACAACAAAAAAAGCTAAAATCCGCGGATGACTTCACTCTTTCAAACCATTTTTTCGTCGCAACTAACATTTTCGAAATTTATTTTTTTATGTGTCCTATAGAAAGAGAAAGTTTTATTAAAATCAAAACACTTCGTATGGTTTCCTCGTTAATGAAAATAAACCTTATTGTAGTGTTTTGAAAAACTCTTGACATTAGTTATTAGATTCTGGATTAAAAAATAGGATGTCCCATTAAAAAAAAATTAGTATAACCTGACCTTGGCGACGCCACCCAAAGTCAAGCTGATGTAATCAGTAAAAGATCTTTTTAAACTCTATAACTCTGAGAGAGAGAGAGAGAGAGAAACATTTTTCCAATAAACCAATACTTTCTGAGACAATTAGTCGTTTCGGGACTTCTGGATCTCACTATATGTATATTTATATATATATTAAAGCATGTGAATAACACTTAAAAAAAATAACATAAATATGATATGAAATAGGTGGAACGTATGTAAAACTAGAAGTCGAGTTTCGCGAACGGTTGGCCCAGTCATGTAAATACAAGAATCCTTCAACAGGAAAGACTCGTATTAAGTCAAATAAATCTTAATTTGTATGTAGATACGATTAAAGATTTGTCCAAAGTATTATGGAAAAATTTTGTTGTGATTTTATACAAAGGAAATATATACACACACGCACGCACGCGCGCGCGCGCGCGCGCCAATAACTCTTACGTATTAATTGATAATTAAATAAGAAATAGGGTAAATAACTTTTAACTTTTTTTTTCAATTAATATGCTTTATTAAGAAATTAAATTAATTAGTTGTGAAAAGATAAAGCTGAATATCTGTAGATAATAATTCTTGGAGTATTATAGTATTTGTAATAAATTATTAATTCATAGTCGATATTTTAAAAAATACTCGTCTTTTATTGTACTATTTTATTTTTAATTTAGCTTTATAAATTAGGCGCATCGGAGTTGTCACTTATATCATTTATATCACTTCGTTCTTAATCATCATATCACTTCTATCTAACAAGTTGTTCAATTCCATCTCTGTAAAAACTACAAAAAAGATTGATCTACTAATTTCAGCAATTCTTTATAGACCTTTATTATTTAGAAAATTTGATGGCCAGAATTATTACTTACCTTCTTTTTCAGATGTAACAATTTTGTATTCTTTAGATTCCATTAACTTTTTCATCTCTAATAGCGTATTTGTATTAAAAGATTGTAGTTCTTTCGACATAACTATTTTCTCCAAAATACGTTTAGCGTCGGCTCGTTTCATAATTGCCTCATCGATTGTTCCTTTAGTGCATAGCTTGTAGACAATCACGGGTTTTGTTTGCCCTATTCTATGACATCGAGCCATAGCTTGTATGTCCACTTGTGGATTCTGTAAGCATTGAAAAGCAATTGTGAATAAAATGCGGATATCAGCAAAAATGGAAAGTGGAAAATTACACTGATATTAACTCACCCAATCACTATCATACATAATAACGGTATCAGCACCCATTAAATTTAATCCAATTCCACCAGCTCTAACTGATATAAGGAACAAGAACATATCTGGATCGTTATTAAAAGTAGTAATATTTTGTTTCCGTACTTCAATTTTAGTGCTACCATCTAATCTCACATAATTATAATCTCGTAACATAAGATAATCTTCAATCATATCCAATATCATAGTCATTGTCGAAAACAATAAAACTTTGTGACCTTGCATTTTCAGTTTTGCCAGCATAGCGTCCAATACTAAAAGTTTACCGGAGGATCTGATTAAATCATTATCAATTTTTGGTAAACCAGTCGAATTCAGCGGGCAGTGAACCAAGTATGGATGATTCACTATCTTTTTATACATTGGTACTAGAAAATATAAATAAAAGTGAAATAACATAAAACGTGAAAACCATATGAAATATTGCGTTAATGTAACAATACTGACCTCTATTTTGATAACTAATGCGGACAAGAAAGTCTTTATTACGTTCTGTGACATCAGTATATTGTTTCCATTTCGATAATTTGTCCTCAGATTTCATTGGTTTCTGTTCAATATTATTATTTTCTTGTACTGAAATATTCAATACACTATTCTCGGATTTATCCTTGATAGATCCGTACGGACTTCTCAAAAAGCATTGCCTTTTCGATCTTTTACCATCTACAGTTTGTATAATCAAATCCGGTACCTCGATTTTACTTAACATTTTTAAATCATAATTTAATACTGCCTTGTATAAATCGTATTGCAATTCCGTGAGCGGCGCATAAACAATCAACTCTTTCTTAGGAGGAATTTCTAAACAAACTTCAGATTTTACTCGTCTTAACATAAATGGTTTTAAAATTTCGCGCAACGATGATAATACATGTTTCTCTTCTTCCTGCTTCAGAAGTTTTTCAGTGCCATGTTGATTCTGAAGTTCTTTAACGTCAAACCACGATTCAAACGTATCTAAATCATCAAAGATATCTGGTAATAGGAAATTCAATAGAGACCATAACTCAGATAAATTGTTTTGAAGTGGAGTTCCAGTTAATATTAGTCTATTCATGGAACGAACACCGTGCAGCACACTAAAAAATAAACATTATCTACAAATCTTAATGTTAAAAGAAAAATAATATAAAAGTTCAATTAAATGAGAAAATCATTTTCTAAATTAAATATATTTTTTAAGTGTCTACCAAATATAGGTATATCGAAATATCTATTATTTGATTGAACTTGTAATCAGTTTTGAAAATAATTAAATCACTGATCAGTTTTTAATGGCTACATACTTGACCAGTTTACATTTATAATTTTTTACTCTATGTCCTTCATCTATTATGATATATTTCCATCTTAGAGATTGAAAGAATTTATTTTCAAGTAATGGTATTTCATATGTAGTGAGTACAACAGGCTGTGTTCTATAATTATCTTCGACAGGATGTGTACATTTAATTTTCATGCGTACAGCGTCTCTTTCTTCTTTTGTGCCATAGAATAAAAAGACCGGTACGACGGGAGCGAATTTTTCAAATTCCATGAGCCAATTTGGTATAGTAGAGAGAGGTGCAATTATTAAATAAGGCCCTGCTTGTCTTTCCTCTATAAGATGACATATCAAAGCAATTGTTTGTATTGTTTTTCCAAGTCCCATTTCATCAGCTAAGATTCCACTCAGGCCGTTTTTATGAAGCAGCTTTAACCATTCTAAACCCTTTAGTTGATAATCGCGCAGATTACCACAAAAATATTTCGGTACAATATCAGTGCTGCTAACATTTGCTTTTGATTCCGGTTCGAGTTTCAGTTCATTACCCGAGTCCGCAGATAATTCTGCCTCTATCTCTTCTAGACTCAGATTCTTTTTTTCCTTTGTGGACCTTACCTGTCTCGTTATCTGTAAAACATTTAATCAATTTTAAATTGTGTCTGTATATCATCCAAGAATCCAAATCTTATTATACTTGCCTCTGTAGATATGTATTCTTGTATGTTATGTTTTTTCCCACGAGCTTTCCTCTTCTTCTTTACTGGTGATATATTTTCATCATTTTCAATAGTAGATCTCTTTCTTGGAACAGGTTTGTAATGATTCTTTGTAGCAGCCTTCTCATTTTTATTATTTATTTTTTTATCTGTATCATCTATCTTATTTATCAAATAGGACGCGTAAAATTTGCTTTTATTCAACAAATGCATCAATTGTTTGTATCTCTGCTTCTTTGCTTCCTCATTATATTCCTCCTCCTCTTTCTTTTTAAGCTCAATTTCGCTGGAACTTTTTCTATATTTTATTGGCTTTTTCACTTCTTCCAACGGACCATTATTAAACTTAACATCACTCGGGGCAATTAATGTATGTTCTACAAGAGAAAACGAAATATTTTAGATAAGCGTTACTGAGGTGTATTAAATACATTGATATATATATTTTTAAAAGAGAAGACAAAGTCTATAATGCTTTTTTACTAAATTCTTTATTGAAATTCTCAACAGAAAACCAAATAATCAAGTATCAAATATTGGGCTGGATTTTAACCTAACGCTATGACACTCATTTTCAGCATCAAAACACATGATCAAAATTAATGCTTGATTTTCATCAATTTTAATCACATGACCTTTTTAATGCTGAAAATAAGCGTCGTAGCGTCAAGTGAAAATTCAGCCTTGTATGTTTGTAAATACACATCCAAGGATGTCCATAAAGGTTGGGAATCAAACTTATATATATGCAAACTTATACAGAATACATTTATGCTATTTTTTAAGTTTAACAATTAATGCCTAAATTCTAAACAGAATCGTAAGTAAGACTCGTAACATAATCTTGTAAAACTTGTAAAATTTTTTAAACTTATACCTTCATACAATATTTTTACAGATAGCTTCTTACTAGCCATGAAATTTATAAGAAATCGTATAGATATTTACGAATAATTGTGTTGTTTTACGCTACATACGATACATACGTATAAAATTAAAATACTAGTCGTAAATTCTTATAAGTTTTACAAGAATATGTTACAAATCTTAAAATTCTGCTTAGGCCAAAATTAGACTAAGCATTGAAGAATGAGATTGAAGATTGAAAGATTGAAGTTTGACTAATCAGAACAAAAGGAGCCAAAATTTCTTTGTCCTTATTGATGAAACTTCAATCTTCAATCTCAATCTTCAATGTATAGTCTGGTTCTGGCCTTAGACTTGACCCATAAAATTCTTCTGAAAGAATAGACTTATATGTCAAATTTATTTGAATATTCTTACTCTACTAAAAATAGTAGTGAATGCATTCTATAAATATTTTATAAATATTTGAATGTTTATAACTTTTTAATAAAGCATTTTTGAACATAAGTTCATATAAACTTTTTTCATCTATTCAACCTTATTAACACACTGTACAAACTTGATCTTGAAATTGATAAAAATAAAAATAAAACGATTTTCAAAAAGAACAAATATTCTCTTGTTGAAAATGACAAAAACGTATTGTATATCTTTAATCTATAGGCCTGTTCTTTTTTAATCTATAGGCTAAACTTTTACAGTTCATCTTTCTTCCTTTTCCCTCCAGGAAGATGAAAAATTCAGTCAAAAAGAACAGGCCTTATAATTTTAATTAAGTTAACTATTGTTCGTTTTGTCTCTCAGGAGCTGCTCGGGCCGCTCCGAATGAACCCATCGTACTTGAAATATAGGATTCACACTACGTGCGACATCCGTTATACGATATTTGACATTTATTGTTACGATGAATGTCGGACGTCGTATAACGGATATCGTACGTAATGTGAATCCTATATTTCAAGTACGGTGGGTTCAATCGGAGCGGTCCGAGCAGCTCCCGAGAGACGAAACAAACAATACTGTAGTATACAGGAAGAAAGTATATAGGTATATCTTTCTCTTTCCTAAAATTTTGAGATAATCACTAACGTGATCAGAACATTATAGAATCATCTTTAATCTTGACTTTTGTGGACATCAGCATATAAATAAGAAAAATATACATGTAGTATATAAATAAGTTATGTAAATATAAATAATATATTGGTACAATTTACAAAAGATGAAACTAAAAAATAATAAATTTAACTGTTAGAGAAGTTGAATAGCAACTGAAATCAATCGCATTTGAGTTACCTTGAGAAGATGGATTCATTTTTGCATC